CATAAGCAAATAAGACAGATGTCTTTCACCTATCTTCCTTACCACGCGAAGACAGCGTATCTCGGATGGACGACATAAGGTTCTGCTCTGTCACCGGACACTTCAAAAGGCGACGCTGGCAAACGACCAACGGCAGATGACGTCACAATGGCGTCCATAAGAATTACACAAAACTACGATAACTTTAACATTTTCAGTGGTGATTACCTGTTACCATACTATTCGACTGTGAGCCTCGTTACCTTATCTTTTAAAAAACGTATCTTTGCAAAAAAACGAAATTATTTCATGGAGAAAAAAGTGATCAAAAGATACTAAACCCCTAAACTTTATTAGCTAAGCCCATTATTTCAACTGCCAGTGAAGCCCTGGCACTATATTAGGTCCTGTATGCCAGCTACAATGAATCAGCGAGCCATCGTGAATCATTACTTCAAAACCGTCTGTTTGAACGTACGAATGTCTACCAACAGATTTTGGCAGGCTGATCCATTGAACTAATACTGTTTCACGCCAGGACGCCAACATGAATAAACAGTATTGTCAGCCTTACCAAGGACACCGGTTTACTAATCTAACCAAGGACACAACTGTGCGTCAGACTGACTCAAACGCCCTCCACCTATCAGCTGCTAGCGCAAGCGGCGAGCGAAAACAGAAACTGACCTCGCCCGGCGCGCCAAGAACAATGTCTGTTGAACAGGGCGACCGCCGACGGCAAGGCGAGGCGTCACCGATCACGCTTCCGAAGGGCGCGACTTGGACAACATGCAGATAGAGCCGGGTGTTGCGGTGGGGAAGGGGTCTTACCCAGGTCGTATTTGTTTCCCAGGGCACTGTCAATCTCCTTCAACAGCTGACTGGTCTCCGCTTCGATGAATGACGTCACGGATTCGTGCATGCTTTGCTGCAATTCTGCAGGATTGCAGCCAAACAACCATACGTGTAACAAACAGGTTAACAACATCACAAACATTCGGGAGCGAAGTTAAACTAAAAACGTTATTAGTGCGTCTAGCTTCTTCCCAGGAAAGTATCAAGTATAAACCATTTTTCATTCTAGCATTGTGGTCACACACGTGCATGCATTTTGTATTCAAGAACGTCGCTTTTCTTAGATGGAGAAGTCAAAAGGTTGATATTGTGGCCGTTTGGAGGTGAGAAATCGCATCGTTTGCGTTAACGTCAATTGATCTCATTCAACTATATCTGTGTATTGTGCTAAGGCATTTATTCATATTCCACTAATGAGGCAGCGACGTCCTTATTTCAAACACCAACTAATTTTCCTCATGCCAACTTTTCATTGTCAACGATGCAAGCAGTTCAATCGGTGAGTCTAATGTCAACCCTATCACCCATGCAGTGAACTGTGCACAGCTTCCAGCAATGTTAGCAAGTGTGAGACTCCCCACTCACACCAAAATGCAAACACCTACCCGCCCATTCACTGGCCAATCACACTAACCTATAGCGAACGGCGACCCACCTTTGCGCCGAAGTGAAGGACTTCTGCTGAGTGATTTGGGGCTGGGAGGGGGCAGCGGTGATGTCACACCTTGGCTGTCTCCCGCCGACTGGGACGCGTCTCCTGGAACGGAGAGAAACGTGGGGTTAGTGACGTCATATAGGTCATACTCGCAGAGCAGTGTTACACTGATCAGTGGCGTAATACAGTTTACATCTGTAATAAGTCATAGAGCAATGCACATTACGTCAAAGATAGCACTGTGTAACTGGGAAAAATTCGTTCCCAATCATTCATCATCATTTCAATGGCCTACAAAGCTGGTGGAGGACGTTTCCTGCCGTATCACGTAAGGAGAAGACGCCAGCTAAAGCGATGGCGCACTGCGTATGTTCCGCTACACCTGTGTAAATGTGTTAGGCACTTCTTTTTCGGTTTTCTGATCCACAAATACCAGCTGTTTTGGCTCGAGCGAGGAGCCGCACGGGAAAAACGCCAAAAAGGGCAACTGGCTGTACGGGTAAAAACTCGGCGGCTGTGAGCGCCTGTCTCAGTCCGCTGACTATACCGAGACGTGATGTAGTAAACGTGACGGGGGAGGAGGAGATGGAAAGAAAAGGGAAGAGAGAGGGGGAAGGAAGGGAAGAGAGAGAGAGAGAGAGAGAGAGAGAGAGAGAGAGAGAGAGAGAGAGAGAGAGAGAGAGAGAGAGAGAGAGAGAGAGAGAGAGAGAGAGAGAGAGAGAGAGAGAGAGAGAGAGAGAGAGAGAGAGAGAGAGAGAGAGAGAGAGAGAGAGAGAGAGAAAAAATAAAATGAGAAATAACAATTCAATAACCGACGCCAATCATGAAGCATTTTCCAAAACGTTTGTATGACAGCCTGAGACGCTCAGAAATCCCAAAAATAGCTGTCAAGAAATGGTAAGGATATTTCGAAACGATGCAAAGTTGTGGCTCGACATTGTTAGTCAATTGCTGAAGAACGGACACAAGGCTAACAATGACAATCGTGAAATGCTGAGGGTTAGCGAGGGTTACCTCCTCCCCTCTGTATTCCCTTTCCTCCCTCCCCAACCACACCACCCCGCCCAGACGGCCGGACGGTGTCCCCATCTGGCAGCTCTGTAGGCGGGGATTTGGCAGCACCGCCGCCGAGTTGGCAGCCGCCGGTGACAGGCTGTCACCCGGTGACAGATGGCGGCAGGGTGACAGATCTGCGCCCGGTATGTGCGCGGCACTGACCGGGCGGGACTCCGCAGATTGTCTGTTTGAAAGAATTGCAGAGGGGCTGCAGGCTTAGCAAAGCGCATGGATCGGGAGACCGGGAGGACGATATGTTGTAAGGCTGGCGTAGGTGAATAACTAAAAATGGCTTAACTTCGATTGCCCTAAATTTCAGTCAAAAAAAAAAAAACTAAGACGGCAAATTGTAATTGCAATGATTATTGTTCTTGGCATCGCATCATGCGTTTTCGTGCAGTGTTGCACCGCATGCTCATATTTTTCTGCTAAAGAAGCTAAGCAAAATGTATACTTGCTAAAAAAGTACGCATCGACTTTCGCTAAACCATCGAAATTAATACGGATATCTTGAGCAACTTTGTAACATATCAAACAGGAACATATATTTAATAGCCAAACATATCAACATACCACAGTACCACTGAACTATGTTTGCCTCGAGTCACTCCACTAACCGGCAAAGTCACGTCATTGATTAGATAATAGTCTGGGAAATAGGCCGCCAAGGCCGCTACATTCAAAGTCAGGGTCAACAACTCCATCGGGTTGTCCCTCTTTATTGCCCCTCGCGGTCCATCGTACCAATTCCCCGCGGACCATTTCCACACCCCCTCTCCGCAATGGTCGCCAATTGACACTCCATAAATTCCGCCTCAGCGCACCGCGTCAATTCGTTTACTGTCGATGTGTTAAGTCACGCACTGTGCGCCGGTCCGACGCACGTCGGCACGTAACAGCCTGTTTTTGTGTCAGTTAGTCGGCTGAATGTGTATCGGACACTGTTGTGACTCGCTCAGTGCAGTAGCACATGCAATCCGATTCAGCGCGATGCAGGAGTTTTGCAGTGCAGAGATTGGGGTGGGTGAGGGAGGGAAGGTCGTGAATGGAAGAGGTCTTTGGCCTCAGCAGATCCAGAGGATCTGTCTTATGTGGTTGAATGTGGCTTTCCGGGATGCAAAGTTACATTGGTATCTACAATGCCATTTCCCCTTTCGGCATGCTTACAAATGTTTTGTGTTGTTGACACAGTCACGAGATGTCTTGTATGCTTTTTGTACGTAGAAGTGCAAACCTTTCCAATGCTTACGTCGGAAATGTCAATCAGTTTAACATCTCGATCAATCTAATCAATCCCTTTCAACTGTGACAGACACGTCACTACACCCATCCATTGGTGTGAGGGTAGATTAGGTGCGCCCCCTCCCCTCCCTCCGCCCTCGCCAGCCAAGTCAAACGCGCGTCACCGCCAAGGTCACCACCCCCACCCCTGCCCCGAGGCTATAAATGACATCGGCAGGGGGACGCGCGCGGGGGAGGGGTCGCTGGCTCCTGAGCCGTTAGGTATGGGGTCTGTGCCTGTGGCGGGCGGGGCGAGGGTGGGGGCGACAGCAGAGTAGGGCGGGACGGAATAGAAGTCGGTTTGTTTACAGGAATATTGGATGTGTTAGGGGGGGGGGGGGGGTCAGCCTGACATACGTCTCTACCAATACCACACACACACAAACGGAATCTTGCGGAACATGGGAGGCGGCAGGAAAATTTTGTTTGGCTATATTTGTGCCATTCCGGTCAAAATGATCATTTTATGCCATGTGTCAGCATGCTATTCTTTGGATGCTGGGTTTGATGCATACATAAAAGAGTAAGCGGTTAGGAGCGTGCATAAGTTTATTGGTTTCGATGAGTAACTTTTGTAGTAAGCGGTGTTGAATATTGTTAGCAGGGTGCCAACAAAAGCTCGAACGGGGTGGCTGCCAACGTGACATCAATAGCATACATCAAACCTGGAAGGCGCCAATATCAGGCGCCACTTTTGTTGAGAGTATCGACATTATAAGGACAGAATTTGTTTTTATGAAATTGGATAAACATTTCTGTGTCTAGAACCCACGTAAATATTACCAATGTAACAACGATTCACATTGCATTATGTATATCGAACTGGTGCTGTCTTGAGTCACCTGCGCAAAGTAAACATGTGAAAAAGTCCGCAGTTCCGTCAGAGCACTTACCATTGGTGACCACGCCATTTTCTTCTGGTTTTCGTTCCACACTCTTCTCCTTGGACCTTCGGAACGAGTTCTGGAGGGTTCGGAGCATGGTGCGAACAGAACCACGCCGCGGATCTCAGCAACGTGATAATTATAAACTAGCTACGGAACTCAGTGCTAGCTACACTTCGCCAACATCAGAGACCCTGAAAATGTTATAGAAACGTATTGGAGAACGCAAGTATTCAACTAGTTTCTACAGCAAAAATATTGTGTGTCAGGTCACTGCAGGTCAAGCTAGGTCTCATCTTCTTTCAGCTCGAGGGTCATGCTATTGGAGTAAAAAAGTATGTGGTAAATAAAACTACAGTCGACAACTTTCAACTCACTTCGCTTAACGAGGATTCCTTTCATGGTCCGCTCAGCAGGTTCGGTTTCTCGAAGCGTGCTCACTCCAATTCTCACCACAAGCCCACTTCTCACCACGTTTGCCTCCCTTCTTACCACGAGAACGACCGGAGAATCGGACCGCTCACCAGCCGTTCCGCTCACCAACTGAGCGACAATTGTCACCGAAAACACCTTCCGCCAACTTCTGCCAAACGCTGCCAACCACTGTTAATTACGAGTGGCCACCGTCAACCACTATTCTGTCAACCTCCGTCAACCAGTGTCAACCTCTACCATTCCCCGTCTGCCAGATTCTACCTCTGTCTACCGTCAACCAGCACCGATTGACGCCAAGTAACCGCCAAGATTGTCGGGCCTCTCATCCATTGTCGGTTGTTGGACATCGTGTTCGCCCCTCCGCTGACGGTGTTCACGCTGGCCTTCGCTAGCCAATCGCGAGGCGCGTTTGGCTCGTATCGGTGGTGTTTTCGGTGGTGGGAACTGGCAGCCAGTGTTGAAAGGTGTGAAATCAAGCTAACAGCGAATCACTGAGCATGACATGACAATTGCCTCGATTTTAGCATTCCTCTACGGATTTTGCTTCTGTCAGATAAACACTGCGATTGTGTTCAAAATTGCAGATTCAAAATATGAACATTATTTCAAAGCACCAATAAGTTTTAATCAAAAGGATCACTTGCATCCTAGGCATCCTGGGAGGCCACTGCAGGTCATCTTCCTCTCAAAGAAAAGGGTACACTATTTAGATCGTTTTGAAAAAGAAAATGATGCGCCAGAAAACATTAACCCTCGCCGGCCGAGGGGGGGGGGGGGCGGGTGCCGCCCCCCCCATAGGTTTTTTTCGCGATAGCTCCGAACACGCTGGCGATAGAAAGCTGAAACTTGGCATACCTGACCTTTGATCCAAGCCGGATCTTTTGACACCAACCTCATTTTTGGGTCAGGTCAGGTCACTGACCTATGACGTCATAAGTGAACCTCTGCACGGTCTTCAGATGTCGCAACTTCGCAACGCCCTCACTGCCAGAGGAGATGTCACAGGGAAATGAAACTTGCAGGATCTAGTATCCATTATGAGTCCCACAACTTGTATATCTCGGATTTTTCCTAAAGGTCATATGAGGTCAGGTCATTTTCGTGACCTCACCATTATAAGTCAATGGGGAAAAATGAAAACTGCTATTCTGGCGCCGGGAACGATCTTCAACTATCTCAAGCACACAGAATCGTGATTTGATGCACTCCTTGCAAGGTTAGATGCGTCACTTTTGCAATGTTGACCTTGCGTGACGTCATTTATGACGTCATCAAGGTCATATTAGTTTTTCGTCAATAACTCTTGATCAAATTGAGCTAGCGAATCGGAAAAGCCACCAATGGACTCAGGAAGACCTGCCGAATCGAATGATATGCAACATGACCTCTTTCGACCAACTTCGTGACCTGGAGGTGCTCAATGTTGGAATTGTGAACTTTGGTCCT